TAATCCCATGTTTACTTTATTATTAGCTATATATCCTTTTGCCATCTTCACTTTTGAATATATCTGAAGAAGCCTTTTTGTTGTTTGTAGCATCCTTCTCCAGTCTCTGTTCCTTCTTCAGTTTAGAGTTTCTGCCTATTTTGGGCTACCTGTATGAAATCTTCCTTGGTGACCTGCCCTTTTCTCCACCTCCTATATGGATCCTGTTTGGTTTTCAAATTTTCAGTAAACTTTCAGCCACATTGGCTTCTTCTGCTGCCCTCCGTTTTCTTCCTCATTGAAATTATTTAAAATTGTGCTTTTTCATTTTCTAGAAACTCTTATGCATCTTAAGCTCTTTTTTCAGTTAGCGTTCCTTGCCATGTAACCCTGCTTGTTGTCACTGTGAATTCATTCAAACATGCTTTCTTGAAATCTAATGGATGTGATTGACTATACTCTGCTTTAGTTTTCCTTAATATCAAGAACTAACCAACAAATGAATAATCATTTCCCCCCAAAGTTCCCACTGTTTGCACTTTGTCTACTATTATTTGCTCTGTAGTTATCTGAATTACACAGGAATGAAGTCACAGGTAGTTGAGATCCGAAAAACATTAACCTTGTTAAAGGACAGGAATTTCTTGATGTACAGGCTGAGTAGAATTTGTCTCCTAACAGATAATAGCATAACTATTCCCCCATCACTACTACTTTAAGTAGGTTGAACTAGGCTACTGTTAGATTGATATAGAGCTAGTTGAACAATTGTACCCCCTGAAGGTACATGAAAGGCTTTGTGACAGGCTGGAAGTAAGTATTCAGTGGAATGCAGCAAGGCCCCATTCTAGGTCTGTGATGGTCAATATATTTAAAAATTACCTGGATGAGGAATTATAAACTGTGGTTGTTGAATTTGCAGGTAACACAAAGAAAAGTGGAATAGCCAACATCTTAGAGGACTGTATCAAGATTCAGGAGGATCTTGTCAAACTAGAACAATGGGCAACAAGATGAATTTCAACAGAGACATATGCAAGATCAAAGGCATGAGATAGGGGAACCATTTGGCCATTTGGGTAGCAGTACATGCATAAGTGTCTTGGTGGATCACAAACTGATCATGAATCAACAGTGTGATTCAATTGGGAAAAAGCAAATACCATCCTGGGCTGTATGAATAGAACTATAGTACCAAAATTAAGAGAAGTCATTTTCCTGTCCATTCAGCATTGGCCAGACTCACACCTAGAACATTTCATCCAGGAAGGACATTAACAAACTGAAGCATGTCTAGAGGAGAGCAGCCATGATAAGGGGCCTGGAAAGAAAAATGTTTGAGGAATGGTTAGAGCAGTGTTTCTCAACCTTGGGAACTTTAAGATTCACTGTTTATGAATTCTGGGAGTTGAAGTCCAGACATCTTAAAGTTCCCAAGGTTGAGAAACACTGGGTTAGAGGCACTGGGTATATTTAGCCTGGAGAGGAATCAACTGCAGGGAAACATAAGTACTTCTTTTCAGGTATCTGGATGGGGCAAAACTGTTCAGAAGACAGAACATGAATCAACTGATTTGAACAAAAAGGAAGTAGATTTGACTTAGACATGAGAAATGTTTCCTAAGGATAAGAACTGTTCAACAATAGAACAGATTACCCTGAGAGGGGGTGGAAGCTCCTTCACTGGAGGTCTTTAAGCAGAGGCTCAGTGTCAGGATCTACGCAAACCAGATTCTTCGATTGCTTTATATGTTTTAATTACTAATTATACTTTTGCTTTAATTGCTAAA